ATAACCTGAGTACTTTTGAAAGATGGACCTTTCTTCTTATTAGTTAATTAATGAGCCTAACAATTAATCAATTATCATAATCCACTAATCTCTCAGCTCTAAAGGCAATATATATGAGTATATGTAAGTCTGTACAAAAATGTCACTTGACCACAATATACTTTATAAAAAAAAACTTTTAATACTCATTTAGGAGGTTCTAGAGGTTATGCAAATGAAATCTGGTAACTGTAAGATAAAAAAAAAGTATTTTTATACTTAACATGAAAATCACCATGCACTTGAACAACTCAGAGTTTTAATGCAAATAACTATAATAAATAATGAATTTTTGGCACAAAAATTAGAAAAAAATAAAATGTTTTATTTTTATGAACCTCTAAAATTTCCCACAATTTCATCCACTTTTTTATTTTTAGAACAAAATTTGACAAGTTACATAACTACAATATAAGTAGGTCAAGGTTAAAGTGATAACCCATTCATTACAAGACCAATTTTGTCATGCCCTGAGGGAAAAATTGCACCAGTGAATTGATATAATTCTAAAAATGTTATTTTAATTTGTATTTCAGATTCAAATTTTAAGTAATACTATATTAACTTTTTCCTCAACATTACTTTATTCAATGAAGTTTAAAGAAGGATTTAACAAAAAATTCAAAATATGTTTTTGACTGTAAAAAAAGCAACCTCCAAGTTTAAAAGATTATTTTTTTAGTTATAATTTTCCTACACTGAAAATATATTACCAATAGGTACTTACCTCCACTCATATAAATAGTTATTCTTGTTCAGTGCTGCCCTCTATATGTACAAAAAGGTTTTACGCATGCCACAAGCCTTTTCTCTCTTTTTCATTAGAATTGACTGATTCCAGTGTGTACGTCTCATGCAAATCATCATGCATCAACTCTCTACCAATAAGAGTCCAACATACTCTATTCAATTCTACCGAACTATCACTTCGAGTTTTGGCAGAACATGAAAGCAATGGTTTTCAGTGGGGAGGAAGGGAGGGAAGTGTGAGTAGGGAAGAACCTGTCAGAAATACATTTTCAGTGTAGGCAAATTATAACTTCTGACACGGTACATTACCTCCTCTCACATAAATAGCTAGAATTCCACACTGAATAGGTGGAGGGACTGGTGCAAGGGAGAGAAAGAAGCATCCAGAGGACACTCCCTAAGATGAAACAGTTAGATTCTAAGATCTCATGTGGGGAACCACACCACTTCTGAACCAGGCATACTCTTTGCCCATCATAGAAAAATGTCGCATATATGGGCATAAAACAAAGGAGTACATCCAATTGGGAGAGAACTATGACCAGAAAGTGATCCAAACCATGCAATATTTAAGAACTTCAATCCCAGAAATTATAAAAGTGGGTAAAATGAAAAGTATGTGCCCTTAGGTGTAGAAAGGCTATGGCGAGACAGACCGTACATGGCAAGTCATCAACATCCAAAACCCATGCTGCTGGGAACAGACATGCACGCAAGGATAGGATGAAGATCATACCACCAGCAAGATGACTGCAATCCAGGCTAACCGACATCTATGTGAGGATAGGAAAGAGTGTCATACCGTCTTCACCTCAAGTTCACAAGACTGGAGGGATTCTGGTATCTCCCAAATCATGACAAATTGATGGATCAATCTGGGAACCTGACATCCAATATTGAAAAGATGTCTACATAACGTAAACA